CATCAAATCAGTTCTGACTCAGTGATGGTGTCTAGGGTTTTCAGCGTGCAGCTGGTGGGTTTGAACCACTGACCTTGCTATTTAAATTGACCTTTCAGTCCAGTGCATTATCTTGCAGCATCACACCAGAACTCCTTTGAGCAAGAATAGAGAACAGAATGATGGTGCTGGTGGTGGTGTGACATGGAGCCAGTTCCAACTCATAGCAACCCTGCATAGGGTTTCCAAGGCTATAAATCTTTACGGGAGCAGAAAGGCTCATCTTTCTCCTGGTAGTTTCAAACTGCCGACCTTGAAGTTAGCAAACTGATTCATAACCACTACAATACCAGAGCAGAAGAGGGCGTCTAAGAATAGTGGTTTTTTTGTTTCTTCAACAACTGTTTATTAAATACCTGCTCTTTGCTGAGCCCTGGGTGGTACAAACAGTTAGTGCTTGGCCGCTATCTGAAGCGGCAGATTGAGTCCACCCAGAGACATATTAGGAGAAAGGCCCACAGGTCTACTTAGAAAATACTCAGCATTGAAAACCCTGTGTCTACTCTGACACACATGGAGTCACCGTGATTCGGAATGGACTATTGGCAACTAGTTCTTAATGTGCTCAGTTGTGGCCAAGAGCCAAGAGTACAGCAGTGAGCATGGAAATCCGTAGTCTCAGCTTTAATGGGACTGTTTTTTAAGCTGGTATCTGAGAAGCCATCTGTACTTCAGTCAGCTCAGCTGAAGAAAATGGTAGCTAAAGAGCTACAGACACACATGCAGATACTTGGTATACAAACTATTCTAAAGTCCGTCTAGCATATATACCAAGCAAAGGGATTGCGTGGTCAAACTGTATTTACAACGTTTTCAGGAAGCACCATGCAGTTATCCACATGGGTTACACCATTTTACACACACCTGTCAGCATTTGTTGTTTACTGTTTTGGGGTCTTTTCTACTTAATGCTTGGGTGAGATGAAAGTTGATTGTTGGTTTTGATTTGCGACTTTCTAGTGCAGGGGTGGGGCACATCCTGCCCACGGGCTGTATACACCTGTAAATTCATGTGGTCTGGCCCTGTCAAGGCAACTGCAGGCAGGGCTGAAAATTCAATAGGACTCGAAATTCAATAAATCTAGGATCTTTTCTCATAGCTGCATGAATTTATATTAAGTGGTGTTATAAATATTCAATTGGCCCTTAGCAGAAAAAAGGTCCCCCACCCCTGTTCTAGTGGCTAGTGAGAAGTCCTCGTGTACCACTATAGGAGAAGTACTCGACTGTTAGCCGTAAGATCGGTGGTTCAAACCCAGCCACTCCTTGGAAACCCTATTCAGGGTCCCTATGAGTCAGAACCAACTGAATGGCACTTAGCAATGGCAAAATAGCTAATGATCACAATGAACTTTCATGCATGGCTCAGTTTTCAGTCAGACAATAGACAGGTCTATAAAGGGAACAATAACATGAGTGAGGCACACCTTTAGATAATCAACTATTTGAGATTTGAGATGAAATTCCATAGAGTTAATAAAGAAGAAGGAATGGAAACAAGACACGCTGGAAGTGAGATAAATAATGTTATATTGAGGGGATTGTAATCAATGAGATGAGGCAAAGGGTGTCTGAACTGTTGAATGGAAAACTGATCTGCTCTGTAAACCTTCACCCAGAGCACATTAAAAAAGTAAAAAAATATATATTGTTGTTGTTAGGTGCCACCGTGTCAGTGCCGACTCATAGTGACCTTATACATAGCAGATCGAAACACTGCCCGATCCTGGGCCAACCTTATGCTTGAGCTCATTGATGCTGCCACTTTGCCAGTCCATCTCGCTGGGGGTCTTCCTCTTTTTCTCTGA